GCTTGGTTTCCTAGTGGTGATAACAGATCGCGCTAGTGTGCCCCAGCGGACTTGACCGTCCCGCGGTTTGCGACCCGCTAATGCTTTCTATTCTAGCAACTTGAGCGGAGTATTTATTTGGCGTGCTATATCAAAAGATGGCGCTAAAGCCAATAAGTTTACTGCTTTGTTTATGAAGGCATGTAACTAAGCAAAAAACAGATTAGAGACGCTATTGAAAATTTCGACACGGTATAATAATGTCCAAGTCTACCCGCTACAAATTATCATCATAAAACTCCATTTTGGTTTTATTTTATTAGGTATATAAAACAGGAAAATATCGAAACATGCAGTAATAAAAGTAGATATCAATAAAAAACTTATTTTTTCCATAAAAATATTCAGAAATAATTATTATGTAAAAAAAACATAACCCTCCTTCTGGAGCAGTCAAGTAAATATCAAATGAACTGTTCGTAAAAAATACAAAATCCAGTTTTAGAAAAAAACATCTTTCACGTAAAAGAAATCCAAATTAGCAAAAGCTTCATTCAATTCAAAACACTCAACGAAACTGTTGATGGGGTAATTTAAACAAAATAATTAAAAAAATATACTGTTGGCAATTAGTTTTTTCATATTTAGAATTAAATTAAAAAATAATGTCATAATTAGGCATTTTTTTCCTAAAATAATGATGATATTGATGCTTTTTTTTCCGTTCCTCTAAATCTGCCGGTGTGTGTAGTTGCTTACACCCTACCATATGTAGGTTTTGAGACAACTTTTAGGGTGTCAATATACACGTATTTACAGACTTACAGCTGGGTATCTCGAATTCCGAGGTGAACTTACTATAATGACTGGACTATAGCCCCAATGGATGGGTACCTGCCTACCAAGCTTGTTTTCATTTAGCGCGCGACACTGGTATTTTTAAATAAGTAGGTAGATAAGATTAATAATTCATAAATTAATCGTGTGCGTTACATCAGCGACATGGTGACGCTGGTCGGGATGTGCTTATGTGGAGGGGTTGGTGCCTTGTATCCTGTAAATGTGTCGAGAGTCTACCATTTGTACCTACCCGGTAAGGTTGCGGAGTACTTAATTGGTGAAAATGGGATTCNATCCCAACTAATATTATAAATGCGAAAGTAACTCTGTCTGTCTGTCTGTCTGTCTGTCTGTCTGTCTGTTACGCTTTCCCGCTTAAACCTCGCAACCGATTTTGATGAAATTTGGCATAGAGATAGTTTGAGTCCCGGGAAAGAACATAGGATAGTTTTTATCCCGGTTTTTGAAACAGGGACGCGCGCGATAAAGTTTTTCTGTGACAGACAAAATTCCACGCGGGCGAAGCCGCGGGCGGAAAGCTAGTTATTAATATTTATGTATGTATACCATGATTGATACTTTTGGAGTCGGTGCAGGCAAACTTTACATGTTTCATAATCTTGGCACCGACTCCAACTTTGTTTTTTGGAGTCGGTTTTATTTTTTTTTATAAAATTTTCGATTCACTTACACGTGCTGCGTGAATGGCTGGCATGCATACCTACTAAGTATATTGACGTTACTGGGATCGGGAGTAGCCCCAATGGATGGGTACCTGCCTACCAAGCTTGTTTTCATTTAGCGCGCGACACTGGTCTTTTTAAATAAGTAGGTAGATAAGATTAATAATTCATAAATGAATCGTGTGCGTTACATCAGCGACATGGTGACGCTGGTCGGGATGTGCTTATGTGGAGGTGTTGGTGCCTTGTATCCTGTAAATGTGTCGAGAGTCTACCATTTGTACCCGGTAAGGTTGCGGAGTACTTAATTGGTGAAAATGGGATTCCGCTGCGGTGATGCTTGAAAACGTTACTGCAGCAGCGACATGATTATTGCCTATTAGCCATAGCTGGGCACCGTTAATCAAATAGTTAACTTCGTTAATCGTTAAACCGTTAATAAAAAAGTTAACTTCGTTAAACGTTAAAACGTTACATTCAGCAAGATTTAACGCAAGTTAACGTTAATCGTTAATCCGTTAACACAAGCAAGGTTCAAATAATTTCGAAAGCAAATCAGCGTTTATGGTATAATTTAAGCCTAACTTTTACGGTGGCTTTTTCTATATATTCAATAGACTGTAATTATTTAGCGCGCGACACTGGTATTTTTAAATAAGTAGGTAGATAAGATTAATAATTCATAAATTAATCGTGTGCGTTACATCAGCGACATGGTGACGCTGGTCGGGATGTGCTTATGTGGAGGGGTTGGTGCCTTGTATCCTGTAAATGTGTCGAGAGTCTACCATTTGTACCTACCCGGTAAGGTTGCGGAGTACTTAATTGGTGAAAATGGGATTCCGCTGCGGTAATGCTTCTTATTTTCTTCAATTACTCCGAAATCTTATTGGGCAAAAATGCTAGATTCTCGTCTCGGCACATTTACAGGATTTAAGGCTCTACCTTTTCCATGACATAAGCACATCTTGATCAGCGTCAGCATATCGTCGCTTGCCTCTCTAACTGACGTACCTAACTGACATTTTGCAAAATTTCGGGCGATTAGATAGATCGATTCGTCTTGCGAAATTAATTAAGATGGCGTAGATAACTCTGTTTCGAAAAAAATGTCAGATACGTCACTTAGAGAGGCAAGCGACGATATCTCTGAGGTAACGCACACGAATGAATCTGCATTTTGATTTTAAATAAGTGAAATACAACTTGATGCAGACTGACATGTATTTGGGAGAGAACTTGCTTAAGGATAATTACCTACTGTCTACCGTAACATTCGCTGCCTGCCGCTCGCGCACCCTGCTTCTAATTTCAAGGACGCCAATCCAATGTGCCGCGCGGTCGCGTCTCGGCGTGGCCAGCTAGTAGGTAGGTAAATTATGATGCGTCGCCGCAGAGTAGCCGGCTATGGAGCGTGCGAGTGAGACAGCAAAGCTCTCACTTTGTTTATGTTTTGGCCGAATTTAATAATTAACAATGGAATTAAACAGGGGATTAACAATGGGTTCACTTTAATAGGTACTAGGTTAAGATTTTTTTTTATTTGCTATACATATCTTAAAATAAATTAAATGAGTAAAAAAAACATTAACTGCACCTCTGCACCGCACTTACCTACTAACAGCTCTCTGCGTGGCTGAAAGGTTGACTGGCGGATAATGCTCTTAACATTATGAACAAAAGGTGGACCTTAAACATTATTATCGGCAATACAGTTTATAACCGACTACACCAGAAAAAGGGTTATGTTTTTCCAGTGTATGTAGGTCTTTAGATTAAGATTCGTCTTAATTATTATTGTGAGTGACACTGGGTAGGTTATCATAATTGGAAGGAAAACAATCGAACCTTTTATAGCCACGATAGCCGAACGGTGAAGGGGTCGGAGTGGCCGACTCGAGATCCGGGGAACGCGGGTTCGAATCCCACCGCCGCTCGACTATTGTGGTGAGCCCACTCGTAACACAAGCTCATTTAGTTTAACACGAGGGGCTAATGGGACTATTAGTAATATTTGGAATACAAATTGCTAATAATCTTAAAAAAAATAATCAAAATTGTCGATTTTAGGCGCCACAATGTTAGACAAATTATAGCCAAACTTTTGTAATGCTAATTTGTGTTTCTTTCATTTTTATTTGAATGTAGATGTTTTTTTTGCATTTTACAAGAAATATGACAATTAATAAAAATAATAATTTGTTGCAAAACCAAACCTATTTTAGTATTTTTATAAGTGACGAAATAAAACAGCAGCGATGAGCTCCATCTATTACATCATTTGTAACTAAATGCTACTTCGACAGCGCCGCAAAAACGATTGCTTAAGACTTCAGTTTTTACTAAAGATAAAATTTTATTATATGAAGAAATATTGTTTATTTGAATCATTCACTGTGTTTAAATGAACAAATTAATGTGTAAAACATTTTTTCATTATAGTTTACTGAGCATTAGTGACTTTTTACAAACGTCTTCAGAAATTCGATACTTATGTCGCCATCTAGTGAGATTGATTTGGAATGATTCAAGATTTATAGGCATCGGGTTCCCGTGGTACCAATGTGAAAGAAAGAAAGAAAAGAAAGAAAGAAACATTTATCTATACTTATAATAATTCTGTAGAGAGGTCAATTCTGTACATGAAATATATTTTCAAAATAACTATCAGGGGGTGGGTGATAACTTGATAAGTGATCGATACTGATGCCAAAAATGCAATCAGTAAATTTTTTGTCTGTCTGTCTGTATGTTCCTTATAGAAACAAAAACTACTCAGAAAAAACTTTTTTTTTTTTTGTTTGAATGAAATTGTATGAAAAAATCTAAACCGCGTAAGATAGATGAAGGGGGTAAAACGCGATCCACGCGTACGAAGTCGCGAGCGGCCGCTAGTTATGAATATAACCAACGGATTAGCAAAGCTAAAGTGGCAATGGAAAGGGCACAGTACACAGAATTGATGGCTGATGGGGCAGCAAGGATCTGGAGTGGAGGCGACATATCGGCAAACGCAGCGTGGAACGTCCATCCACAAGATGGACCGACGATGTTGTTTAACGTGGCAAAAATCGTAATTAATGACAAGATATGATAGTAGCGCCCTCCTGACAATGTCATACTGACTCCCTTACTCACAAAGATGCTTACTTAAGTGAAGCAGCAAATCGAACGCACAGCGTTGAATACAGCTCTGTGATTGGTTCGTGTGTGACCCTGTGCGTACACGCGCACTGTGAGGCCTCATAGTAATGTCTGTGAATACATGCGTGAGTTTATTGCGCTACTTCTCCTGAGCACTGGCATATTGTTCTATGGCAATAAAATCTCTTTACGAATATGACGTGTGTTTAATTATGTAGTTATGATGTGTCTAATCCCAGGTTTCAACACCATTTATTGTCCCGAAGCAGTGGTAGGGTTAATACTGGGACGTGTAAAGTACTTTGTAAAGGCTTATTTGCAAAAATAAATGAGTTTTAAGTGTTTTTTTTAGTTTTAAAAGGTCTTTACAACCAACCTGAACTCCTCGACCTCCCCGCTGCTATTCTGCGAAGAAGGGAAGCTGAATATCTTCACGTCGCTCTCGTCAACTTCCTCGTAGACTATTCTGAACACGTCATCTGTGAAAACAAGCGATTTTGAATGTGAATATAAAATATTTGAATGATCAAGTAAAAGGATTGATTTCACTGCTTAAGGGCTGATTTTTCAATCATCGGATAACGGATGGCACATTGACTGTTTTAGTATGATGGATGTCAAAATGACAAGTTTATTCTTCAGTTAAAAGATACGATTAAAAAATCTGCCCTAAATGAAACAACTTTCGTACAGGTTTCCTTTTCGGGGTTCCGTAGTCCTGACAAGGAACCCTTATGGTTTTCTCATGTCCGTCAGTCTTATAAGACTATTTTTCGATCTAGGGATCCGGTAAACATTAGTGCTAATTTTTATTCAAGAAAGGCGTCGCGTTTTTTCCATATTTTTAGGGGTATATCAGAGGTTAAAACTAGCAGTTTGATTAATCCATTCTGGGACACCCTGTATGCAAGTATATGCTCACCGTCAGACTTCGGCTGCCACCAGAAGCCGGTGTACCGCGAGAACTCTTCCTGCGTGACGTAGCACGGCACGCCCGCCTGCCTGGGGTCGTCTGCTAACCTGGGGACATTTGTTTCGAGTTGACTTGACCTTCACTGGTTGGGTTTTATTGGCGGTCAAGCTGTAGAACCTAGCTAAAGTCCGGTCGCTGAGCACATAGAATTTCGGCCAATGACTCCAAGCTACCTGTTCTTATCGCTCGCGCGTATTTATATTGCTGTCGCGCTCACACACTCACTGCGGCCGATCGTCGCACAGTCGCGACAGCAATATAATGAGGATCAGTACTGTTGTAGAAAATTCAATAAAACTAGTATCTACGTTAATCTTTAAGACAGAAGAAAGATATATCTTTTTGAATTATCCAAATCGGACCATTACTTACGAAGATATTAAGTAATAAACATAGGCCGTTTTTGCCGCTAAAAGTCAACGTACGCAAGGCCGCGTGACGTCATTATATCCGAATCGAGCGCAGCCGGCGTACTAATGGGATGGAAAATATTTTTTTCCGGCTAAACTATCAGATTTAGAAAAAAACTTTTAATAACATTTATTCTTCAAAATAAAGTAACCTATCGACCAGTAATTTTTAAAAATAAAAGTTGTGAAAAATAAGTATTGCTATGTCCAAAAACCACATTTTCATAGGATTCGATGCAATGCGGAGACGCGGTTGGGGTGAGTGTATAAAAAAAATACATATCTATTTGTTTGTAACCAAATTCTATTATTAAAATTCTAAGGCTCAGTTGCACCATCTTACTTTAACTTTAACAAACGTCAAAATTCTGTCAAACTCCATACAAAAAGCACCGGTTACCGTTATAGTTACGGTCAAAGTTAGATGGTGCAACTCAGCCTAAAACTAAGAAAGATTGAAGAAAAAGAAACATTTCGTTTTAAACCTTAACCGTATGACAATAAAGTGCACAATGGTATTTCGTATTGCAACCTAAGCCCTGATTGTCTCTTATTGGTCGTAGTAAAAATATAGTAAAATGCGTAACCAATTAGAGACGGGGTGAGCACGTGACCGGAGCGATGCGCTTACGCTAAAATTTCTACAAAGTGGTCAGGCGGAAGAGTCCCCGATAGTACAACAAACATCGATAGTTTTAGAAATGCTACATACATATTCCAAATTGGGTGTTATTGGCTCTATGATACCTCCGCCTTGCTTGCCGAGTGCGCCACCAGACCATCCCATTTTCAACATCATTCTAGAAAGAAATACATTCGCGTTGCTGTAATATTTATTTTTATGATAAAAATTTTAGCCTAGGCGCAGACCACCGATTTTTAGTTGGGTCGAGCTGTTGATCAGTATGGAGATGTATGAACGTGCGCACATTACGCCGATTTGGTATCGGCCGATCCTTTATACAAATTAGAATCGGGCTTAACTATCGGCCAACTAAAAGTCGGTGGTCTGCGCCTAGGCTTAGAGCCACACATGTTAAGCAGGGTATTCATCTATAGTCTGGTCCGGGAGCACGTAGAATTTGCGTGTGCGAGCGTGACAGCAACATAATTACGCGCGAGCGATAAGGATGGGTAGCTTGGGGTCATTGGACAAAATTCTACGTGCTCCCGGACCAGACTATAGCCGTGTAGCATGTACAAGATACTGTATCAAGTGAGTACTTAGGCACGAGCCTGCTGCGAGCTGCTCGCGCGTGGTTCGCAGGGAGACCGCAGCGACCCGCCGAGTGGCGGTATCACTGCGAGCACAAAGGCGGCTCGCAGTAGGATTCAGGAGCTCGCTGACAGATACGCGATGACCGTGGACGAGCCGTACTCACTTGAAGGTTGGTTACATACATGCTACGTGCTACATGGCAGGTGAGTACCCTGCCTTACGTTTAGCAGCGGCTATCGGCGATTTAGTCGCTTTGTAGAAGCTGAATGCAGCGACCACACATTCCACACCGCACACTTAAAAACGCCAAAGAGTGACAGCAGTCGCTAAAACGCGCGATTCCGATACCGCGTTCAGTTCAAACGCATGAAGTCGCAAAATCGCATTGCTGCATCGATACAGTCGCAAAATCGCCGATTGCCGACGCTAAGGCTGTGTTGCACCATCTTATCGTACCCTGCTCTTGAGTGAGCAGGATGTCGAGTTTGCCGCGCGAACCCAGTTCGCCCAGTGTGGACGCACCATTACATTAACTTTGACAAACGTCAAAAATCGGTCAAACTCCATACAAAAACCACCGGCTATCGTTATAGTTACGGTTAAAGTTTGGTGGTGCAACTCAGCCTTAAAAGTAGCATGTCTGCTAATGGCCCATAAAGTCAAATGAAATTATTTTATAGGTAACATTTTTATAACTCACTTTTCTGCCTTACTTATAGAACTCGAACTTATAGGTGTCTCGAACAACTTCCCAAGTTTCCGCTGATAGTTGGTTAGCCTGGGTTGAAACTTAGGTCCAGTTTTGCAGGATTTTTCGCTGGGATCTGGGCTGGAGTCATCTGGTTCTATGCTGTGAGCTGATATGAACTTGGGGCCAATGCTAGCATGAATGGCTGAGATGAAGCTGGTAGCAGGAGAATCACCAGCTGTTTTGGCACTAGGAATCGGGGTATCATTGACAGTAGACGCAGTAGTGCCAGATAAAATTGGTCTACCTTTAGAGGTAGTGATAGCTGTGATGCTGGTAGCTAAAGAATCGCTAAGGGCTACTTTGGTACTGGGTGGAATTAGGATATCACTGGAGGTTGATGCTACCTTGCTAGATATGTCAGCAATGAGATCCGAAATAGTGCAATCAATAGATTCGCTGCCAGCTGGTTTTGTACTCGGATCTGGGATATCACCAGTAGTAGCGGATGTTGGGACAGTTTTAGCAGCTGATAATATGTAAGCTGGAGAGACAGTAGGAACTGGTTCTGCAGTAGAAGTCAGGGTAGTGTCATTAGAGTCAGGCTTATGAGCTGAGAGACTGGCTGATATAAAACTGGCAGCTGCAACTGCCTTCTTAGCTGGAACAGCTTTCGAACCAATGTGCATAGAAGAAAGTGGTTTAGAAATGGAAGCCAGATACGTGGTAAGTGTTGGGGCATTTAGATCCTGCGGTTCAGTTATTGAAGATAAGGCATCGCTGGCAGCTGGACCTTGACTGGTAGGTAGGATAGCCACAGAAGCTGCAGCCTCAACAGTTGGGAAAATATTGACAGCTATTTTACTAGTTACATTGCTACTGACAGCTGAAACGGAGCTAATAGATGAGTCAGTCATAGGGGCTGAGGTATCTTCTGTAACTGAATTAGCAGCTGAAATAATGGGAGCTGGAATTGTCGCTGTCGAAGTTAAGACAGGGCTTATAGATGAGGCAGACTTAGGAGATAATTTAGACATCAGATCAGAATCAATAACGAGACCTGGAATTGACCTGCGCCTTGACAAAGGTCTAGATTTTGGAGTAATAGAAGCTGGATTAGCTTTAGAAGCTGGAAGAATGTTAGCACTGGAAGTAGAGATGCCACTAACTGAGGTGTTAGCTAAGTCCTCAAGTTTAGTAGCCAAGATGGTGGTGGTAGGTGATACAGCCATAGAAGTTGTATTAGCTTTAGGAGCTGGGGAAATGTTAGCACTGAAAGCAGCGACATCACTAGTAGTTGAAGTAGTGCTAGCAAATGATTCAGCTCCAGCAGTTAAGTTAGACTCTGTAGCTGATATAGAGCTGGCAGCAGGAGTAATAGGACTAGGCTGGGTGGGATTGGGTGTTGGATCAGCTATGAGAGTTGGAGTTGCAGAGTTAGTGTCCATTAATGAAATAGTCACAGAAGATGAAGTAGCTGACGTTAAGTTGGAAGAGGAAGCTATGTTCGGATTAGCTATAGCGCTGGCTGCTGAAGTAATATTGGGACTAGCTTTGGGTGTTGCATCAGTATTGAGAGCTAAGTTAGTATCAGTTGATGGGATAGCCCGAGGATTTGAAATAGCTGACATTAACTTGGAAGCAGGAGCTACATCATGATGAATAAAGCTGGCTGCTGGAGTAATATTAGCGTTAGCCTTGTGTGTTACATCAATTTTGAGAGCCGAGTTAGTATCCATTGATATAATAGCACCCGGAGCTGTAATAGCTGATTTTAAGTTGGAAGAGGAAGCTATGTTGGGATTCAGATCATATTTGGCCTCTGGGTTTGTGTTGGGAGAGGATTTAGAGATGCTAGGCACGGATTCATCCTTGGGTACGGAATAACTATAATCACTGCTTTTGAGATATGGATTACCGTTGGAATCCCACCAGTACCTGCAATAGTATAATATCTATAAGTATTTGTATTTAACTATCAAAATATTATAACAACTCGACCTTCAGGTCAATACATGTAGCCAATGTCAGTGTCAATAATATTCTGCTAAGGTATCAAAATCTACTGTCAATGTAAAACTACAGTTCTAAGGATAATACAAGACATTCATCAAGTTTATACTTGCAATGATATCATAATGTCAACACATCGACAATGACCCAAATAAACCCAATTTTCAGGTTCTAATTAGAAAAAACATTACTCCAAACTGAATAACGGCATAAAGAATTTAACGCAAAAAAAAGTTAATACAAAAGTCTGTTATATCCAACACTGTGATAGTATTATGTGCTAATTGGACAACATACATATCAGTACATACAACACTTTAATCTAAATGTATATGTCGTTGGCAGTTCCTCGAAATTGCCACATTGTTATATGCTCGGGCACATAGTGAAAAGCCGGCACATCAAGCTTTCAAAACTTTACATGGAAATGGGGGCATTTAATTACCTTTAAGCCTGTCACGGACAGCTTAACTTTAGAGAGAAAAAAAGAAAAAGTGTTTGATGCAAGTGCAAAATAAACAAGACTTCAGAGACTAGTTCCTGAGATTCTGTCATAAAAAATGTAGGTATAGATTAGGTACATACTTATCCGTTTCGAGCTCTTCCTTAGACACAATTCTTCTGTTTATCTTGTCTCGCTGCCTATTCTTTTCATTGTAGTACTGGTATACATGATTATCATCTGTAGGGGCGACTGTATTTGGCACTACCGGCTTGTATGGAAGGAGCCATGATTCGTAGAGGTACTTGGGGTGTTCGCCGCTCATTTTGGAAATACTGAGCTCACTTGTAGCACTCTTTCATAGTTAAATAAGTTGTTATGAACACCTTCTGACCTAACCTCTAACTTATTTAATGGTTGGTAAATGATACAGGAAATTATCTCACATTACGGTTAACATTCTAAAGAGGAAGAAAAACCTATCTAACTATAGATACTTGTGCAAAATACACATTTTGCGCGCCGACCGCCCGATCAATAAATCATGGCAATTGACAGTTCCGTTTTGTTGACACAGGTATGTTTTGTAAACAAAACAAACAGGTGTTTTGACAGATGCGTTTAGTTTTATGATTGATAGGTTGTTACTATACTTCGAGTATAACTTACAAGGAGAGGGCAAAGCCGGGCTTACCATAACCATAAGGTATTGCAATAGAATACAATCTTCCTTCTTTTCTTACCCAAGCAAAATAGCTCCAAAAAGATGAACGACTTTCTACTGATGCAAGGATAAGGTTAAAATAGGAAAATAAGTAAATAATTTTAAACTAGAAATTATAATTTCAACAATTTATTCTACATAATTTAAATATCTATACACTGTGTAAAATAACACATTAGGTAAACCATGATTTGTTACAAAAGCTTCACTTAAAATTAATATTACACTTATACAACTATGAAACATAATTGGCAAATAATGATTTGGACATACAATATTTGTAATCGTGACTTAAGCAAAAACTGATACGTTCAACTTACAGAGACATTGCCTTTAAGATTGCGAAAGAAATAACGTCAGTTGCAGGTTCACTTGGGGTAACTGACAAAATACGGTTTTTGAGTTAAATATACAGTTTTTCTTAGTTTTTTCTGCTCTTTCGAATGGTATACGTAAAAAAATTCTAGTTTTAAAAAAAATACAATTACACGGACATTTTCAGGTGTGAACTTTTCAGATTTCCTTCACATTTTTGGTGTAACTGACATTGTAATGATTTTACCAGGTTGAATTGGTGTATCTGTAATAATGTAAAAATTTTGCTACAAAACTTTGCAATTACACTGATTTGCTAAGGTTTATAACATGAAATAAAATAGGAATTTAGAAAGTTTTAAGGCATATTACATTATTATTATACCAGCAGTATCAGTTAAAGAAGTTAAAGTTAGCTCAACAAAAAAAATATATTGAAGTTGAGCAACTATCCAGCCAACTAGGCGTCACTGCGCGTTGCTAACATTAACCTGTTGTTACTCTGTTACTTTTACTGTTGTAGTACTCATGACCTTAATTCAACATTGCTATAAAGAGGTGGGAAATTAAATCCATTTTGTTTTCAGTTTAAGTTGCCCCGTAGAGCTAAATACGGTATTGGTAAGTGAAAGCTTAAAAAAATATTGAAATTACTTAGTTTCACAGTAATACTTTAGTTATTTCAATATTTCTGTGTTAAAAAAATTAAATACACATATTTTCTTGATTTTCATGGCTTTTTTAACATTTTTTAATGAATAAAATAAAAGTTACTTCTAATAAAATTAAAAAAAAATAAAGAAAACGACAAAATGTTATTTTTTTCATGAATTCTCCTATTTTTTAATACTTTTACATAAATTATACAGCAACTAAGTAAACAAAACCCAGCAAATACATCAAATTATTTTAATTTGGGCAGTACTTACACCAATTTGACCTATGTTTTTTCCAAAAGTATGGTGTAAAATTAGTGTAACTGTCAAAAGTACAAAAATACATTGGTGTAACTGCAATTTATTTCCTTAACTAAGACATATTAGATAATTCTTTTTATTTAATCTAAAACCGCGTAGAATTCTAAGCATTTCTGTAAAAACAGATCCAAAAAAGGTTAAATAGGAAAAAAGTTATGTCCTATTCAAGACGAAAAAAAACTTTAAACGGCTCTACTGAAAAACTGTATTTTGTCAGTTACCCCAAGTGAACCTGCAACTGACGATAAATCCAATCTTAAAACGCGAAAAAAACGGTGCCGACTCCATTGCTGTGCTCGATTTCAGGTTGACGTCATAATGAATCCAATATGGCAGCCGTCAGGAGGGTACTTCAATGCAGTTCATACTGGGTTCCAATGTGTTACTTTATACATTTGATTGATGAAGTTGAGCACCCACGAACTATATCTGTAAAAAAATACCAATTTTAGAATGTGTTCATAAAGTTATAATGTCCAGGGAACTACTCAAGATTCACTGGTTGGGTTTTATTCGATACTGTCATTGGACCCGCAACGAAACTAATTAAAAGAACATAGTAGTTCAAATTTAGGAGGACTCGCGCTGCCGGTATCGATAATTATTCCAAAAAGTCGATGGCCGGTTCCAATGAGGGTTTTCGCGAATTAAAAATCCGCCAGATGGTAATACGTAGACGCGAGGTCCAAATGCTGCATGATTGGTTATTTTTGACATGACATTGACAGATAGGTCAATATCTACCAATCACGCAGCAGTCAGACCCCACATCCACGTCCCGCCATCTAGCGGATCTTTCATTCGCGAAAACCCTCATTGTGGTGCTCGATGCAAGTTGTAACCTGTTAGGTCGCGCAACAAGAGTTGAGGACTGGTAACGAGGCATCGACTGNGAGCCGGCATCGACTGATAACGTTCGCGATCTCTCTCTCTAGCGACTCACGGGTCTACTCGGTCATCCAGTAGAAGCGTGAGCCGTGGCGCGCGGGGCGGGCGGCGTCGCGCTCCGCGTCGGGCAGCGCCGGCGTCGGGTCCGTGTATATGGTCAACGACAGACACAAGACGAACCCAACCAATATTACAGGACTATTCCCAACTCTCATTCCCACTGCTGCAACTCCTGTGTAGCCAGGATCTACAGCTTAACCGACAATAAAAAGCCAAACAATGAAGATCAAGTTTGTTCTAGGGAAAGTTACTGTCATTGGACCCGCAACTAAATTAATCAGAAGAACATAGAAGTTCGAAGTTAAGATCCTTATGCTACCGAAGTCGATATCGCAAAAAGTCTATGCCAGCTCTATTTATGATGCTCGATGCTTGTAGTGATGACCTCAAGTCTCATCTCTCGTTATGCGACCTATAAAACTCCCAATTTTTTTTTTAAGTCGTGCAGTGTTAGCGCGACCTATGCCTGTATAAATATAACTCACGGGTCTACTCGGTCATCATCTAATCTATCATATCTGGGACACTCCAGTGTTGTCCAACTATAGCTACGTCGCTCTTGTTAAGTGTCTGCTTATCAATACTAAGCAAGAGTATAGCGTAGACTTCGTATTCTTTGCTCGTATTGAAAGCCTCAACTCTCGTTGAGCGACCTATATGTATAGGTCACTTGATCCAGCACAACAAATGGAGCCGGCATCGACTGATAACGTTCGCGATCTCTCTCTCTAGCAACTCACGGGTCTACTCGGTCATCCAGTAGAAGCGTGAGCCGTGGCGCGCGGGGCGGGCGGCGTCGCGCTCCGCGTCGGGCAGCGCCGGCGTCGGGTCCGTGTATATGGTCAACGACAGACACAAGACGAACCCAACCAATATTACAGGACTATACCCAACTCTCTTTCCCACTGCTGCAACTCCTGTGTAGCCAGGATCTACTGCATGGTCGAAAATAAAGCCCAACCAATGAAGGTCAAGTTTGTTCCGGGGAAAATTATATTGTCATTGGACTCGCAACTAAATTAATCAGAAGAACATAGGAACGGTTTGAAGCTGTGACTCTCGCGCTTCCGGAGTCGATATAGCAAAAAGTCTATGGCCGGCTCCATTTGTGGTGCTCGAAGCTTGAAACCCTGCAGTGTTGCCACAAACAAAAACAAAACTACTAAATTAGTAGCTTTAGTTTTAGCGCGACCTATACCTGTATACAACCCTGTCAAGTTAACTGCGCATCTGACTGGAATGCCTAAATGCGACTCTCCCTCGCACTCACCCGCACACATTCCCTCGTTGGCCCCGTCCGTACCAGAGCGTCGATTTGACGTCACGGCCGCCAAGTGACTCCACCTTGTTGTGCCTTTATAGACCTACTAGCGGCCGCCCGCGACTTCGTACGCGTGGATCCCGTTTTACCCCCTTAGGGGCCCGTTCCCGTGGGAATTTCGGGAATTCCTTTCTTAGTGCACCTTTACGGTACCTAAGCTACGTCCCTTCCAAATTTCAAGTGCCTACGTTTAGCCGTTTAGGCTGTGCGTTGATCTGTCAGTCAGTCAGTCAGTTTCTCCTTTTATATATTTAGAAGATGCCTGTATAATGGTGACTCACGGGTCTACTCGGTCATCCAGTAGAAGCGTGAGCCGTGGCGCGCGGGGCGGGCGGCGTCGCGCTCCGCGTCGGGCAGCGCCGGCGTCGGGTCCGTGTATATTATTATGGTCCACGACAAACACATGACGAAACCCATGGGCGTACCCATCAACAGCTGCTACAGTCGCTTTGAAAGAACTAAGTCAAACGATCTGACTTAAAAATTACTTGCTCCCTAGCAAAGAAGCTGGGTACGCTTATGAAGAAACCAAACCAATGACCGGGGAACATCATACTGTCATTGGACTCACAAGGAAATTAATCAGAAGAACAGAAATTCGAAGTTAAGACCCTCGCGCTGCCGAAGTCGATGTTGCAAAGTCGATGCCGGCTCCATTTATGATGCTCGATGCTTGTAGTGATGACCGCAAGTCTCAACTCTCGTTGAGCGACCTATAAAACTCCCAAAACCGTGCAGTGTTGCCACAAACGAAAAAAACTACCAAATTAGTAGTTTTAGCGCGACCTATGCCTGTATAAATGTAACTCACGGGTTTACTCAGTCATCCAGTAGAAGCGGCTCCCGTGGCGCGCGGGGCGGGCGGCGTCGCGCTCCGCGTCGGGCAGCGCCGGCGTCGGGTCCGTGTATATGGTCAATGACAGACACATGACGAAACCTAACCAATATTACAGGACTATTCCCAACTCTCGGGGCTCATCGGGGAAAGATACTGTCATTGGGCTCGCAACGAAATTACCAGAAGAATCCGCTACCGGAGTCAATATGAAAAAAAGTCGATGGCCGGCTCCATTTGTGGTGCTCGATGCTTGTAGTCTCAACTGTAGTTGAGCGACATATAAAACTCCCAAAAACCGTGCAGTGTTGCTACAAANCAGTAGAAGCGTGAGCCGTGGCGCGCGGGGCGGGCGGCGTCGCGCTGCGCGTCGGGCAGCGCCGGCGTCGGGTCCGTGTATATTATTATGGTCAACGACAAACACATGACGAAACCCATGGGCGTACCCATCAACAGCTGCTACAGTCGCTTTGAAAGAACTAAGTCAAACGATCTGACTTAAAAATGACTTGCTCCCTAGGAAAGAAGCCCATGAAAAAACCGAACCAATGTCCCGGGAATAGCATACTGTCATTGGACTCGCAAGGAATTTAATCAGAAGAACATAGGAGCAGTTCGAAGTTAGTACTGAAAAGAAGTTAGGCAAAAAGTCGATGCCGGCTCTATTTATCATGCTCGATGCTTGTAGTGATGACCTCAAGTCTCAACTTTCGTTGAGCGACCTATAAAACTCCCAAAACCGTGCAGTGTTGCCACAAACGAAAAAAGCTACCAAATTAGTACTTTTAGCGCGACCTATGCCTGTATACTAGTGGTGACTAATGGCGACTCACGAGCAAGTCATATCCAGCTTCTGTTGTGGGGGGGGGGGGGTAAGTCAGATGCGCGTCGGGCAGCGCCGGCGTCGGGTCCGTGTATATGGTCCACGACAAACACATGACGAAACCCATGGGCGTACCCATCAACAGCTGCTACAGTCGCTTTGAAAGAACTAAATCAAACGATCTGATTTAAAAATGACTTGCTCCCTAGGAAACAAGCTGGGTAAGCCCATGTAGAAACCCAACCAATGACCGGGGAACATCATACTGTCATTGGACTCGCAAGGAAATTAATCAGAAGAACAGAAATTCGAAGTAGTGTCCGACCGAAACTAGTTTTACGACCGAAACCGAAACCGAAAACGAATTTCGGCAACGGTGTCTATTTCGGCCGAAACCGAAACCGAAACCGAAACTTCCTTACAAGGCTCATATTTTGAGGGAAAAATAAAGAAAACGTTATTATAGTCAGTCAGTCTTTATTGTTTTCTCTTTAAATTGCATTAAAATTGAACTTATAAAGTGCCTTTTTACTTTAAAGGTATCAAATTATGTATTAAAAAAGAAAAAGAAGGATTTATAGTCTAGATTTTTTTTAATTACACGCAGTATTCAGGACATCTACATAACCCGTCCCATGGTCGGGGGTCTTTTACCTTAATAATTTCTCAAAACAAAATTGGTAGTACATAAGTTAGTATCTACTGTACTTGCCACTTAAATACCTTGGTGATAAATACATACTAAAATGAACTTTGAATCTCTGAATCCATAATACACTCGGCATCAAATAAATCGCACCTCCTGCGACAAGCACTTATCAAACGTATGCATCCCTTCTTCCCACCAACATTGGTACCATTTGAAAGCCTAGTTCTTAACTTCATTTCATTAAAGGAAAGGTTTTTACCCCAAAAATGTGTCTTTACAAGGATCCAGAGTCACTTCTTCAAAGAAAAAGGTAGTTACGCTATAGCCATTTTTTATGACTATAAAACTTTTAAGTTGGGATTAATCGCTATCCATCTGTTAAAGAGGGCACGTGAGATCTTTATTTGGTTTTATAACCATTAAAATTGGTCTTATTGATCCCAGAGGTGAGCCCAAAGTGAGGTCTATTTTCAAGTCACATTTATGGTATATGTTAATCATTTATTTAGATATGAAAGGTATTTTTCTTTAAGGATATTTATTGGGCTTTCAAATAACACCAATATTGTTGGGGTACCATGATTGTGTCAGAAGAAAATCTTTAAAGTTCGCGTCGCGGAAGGTGCGGTTTATTTGATGTTGAGTGTATTATCACCATGAAATGCACTATAGTCATTACTAACTACTTAACTAATTTTTGTTTACTTATAGCATTTGCGAACCAAAAAAATTTATAGGTTATATTAAACTTGATTATACTTTTATCAGTCATATTGAATATTTTTTTTATGTTTACACTCGCTCTTATGTTATAACGACATAAAACGAGATAAAACTTACCAAATTCATTCATTCTCGTAAACTCGCCACCACAACAAAACAAAACTAACAGCAAACAAACAAGCGAGCGAATCACGACATTGGCTCTGATTGGATTCATTCACTCATTCAACGTGCCGAACATGACCGATAACAGCGCGGAAACTCCCGAACTTCCCACCAACATTGGTACCATTTGAAAGCCTAGTTCTTAACTTCATTTCATTAAAGGAAAGGTTTTTACCCCAAAAATGTGTCTTTACAAGGATCCAGAGTCACTTCTTCAAAGAAAAAGGTAGTTACGCTATAGCCATTTTTTATGACTATAAAACTTTTAAGTTGGGATTAATCGCTATCCATCTGTTAAAGAGGGCACGTGAGATCTTTATTTGGTTTTATAACCATTAAAATTGGTCTTATTGATCCCAGAGGTGAGCCCAAAGTGAGGTCTATTTTCAAGTCACATTTATGGTATATGTTAATCATTTATTTAGATATGAAAGGTATTTTTCTTTAAGGATATTTATTGGGCTTTCAAATAACACCAATATTGTTGGGGTACCATGATTGTGTCAGAAGAAAATCTTTAAAGTTCGCGTCGCGGAAGGTGCGGTTTATTTGATGTTGAGTGTATTATCACCATGAAATGCACTATAGTCATTACTAACTACTTAACTAATTTTTGTTTACTTATAGCATTTGCGAACCAAAAAAATTTATAGGTTATATTAAACTTGATTATACTTTTATCAGTCATATTGAATATTTTTTTTATGTTTACACTCGCTCTTATGTTATAACGACATAAAACGAGATAAAACTTACCAAATTCATTCATTCTCGTAAACTCGCCACCACAACAAAACAAAACTAACAGCAAACAAACAAGCGAGCGAATCACGACATTGGCTCTGATTGGATTCATTCACTCATTCAACGTGCCGAACATGACCGATAACAGCGCGGAAACTCCCGAAGGCACATTCGGTTTCGGTCGTAGTTTCGGCAAGTTTGCCGCCGAAAACGAAACTAAACCGAAACTCGTGTTTTTACCGAAACTCAACCGAAAACGAAACCGAAACCGAACATTCGGTCGGACACTAATTCGAAGTTAAGATCCTCGCGCTGCCCAAGTCGAAACTCTCGTTGAGCGACCTATAAAACTCCCAAAATCGTGCAGTGTTGCCACAAACGGAAAAAAACTACCAAATTAGTAGTTTTAGCGCGACTTATCATATGGCTGTATAATAGTAACTCACGGGTCTACTCGGTCATCCAGTAGAAGCGTGAGCCGTGGCGCGCGGGGCGGGCGGCGTCGGGTCCGTGTATATGGTCCACGACAAACACATGAAGAAACCCAACCAATGAAGATCTAGTTTGTCCCAGAGAAAGTTATACTGTCATTAGACCCGCAACTAAATTAATCAGAAGAACATAGAAGTTCGAAGTTAAGATCCTTGCGCGCGCTGCCGGAGTCGATGCCGGCTCCATTTATGATGCTCGATGCTTGTAGTTATGACCACAAGTCTCAACTCTCGTTATGCGACCTATAAGGTGTTGCCACAAACGTAAAAAAGCTACCAAATTAGTAGTTTTAGCGCGTCGCGATAGCAATAATATAATTACGCGCGAGCGATAAGGATGGGTAGCTTGGGGTCATTGGACGAAATTATATCTACTCGGCGACCGGACTTTAGTGGTAACTCACGGGTCTACTCGGTCATCCAGTAGAAGCGGCTGCCGTGGCGCGCGGGGCGGGCGGCGTCGCGCTCCGCGTCGGGCAGCGCCGGCGTCGGATCCGTGTATATGGTCAACGACAAACACATGAAGAAACCCAACCAATATTACAGGACTATTCCCAACTCTCGGGGATCACCGGGGAAAGATACTGTCATTGGGCTAGCAACGAAATTAACCGGAAGAATCCGCTACCGGAGTCAATATGGAAAAAATTCGATGGCCGGCTCCATTTGTGGTGCTTGATGCTTGTAGTCTCAACTGTAGTTGAGCGACCTATAAAACTCCGAACCTCCGTTGCCACGAANTAAGTCAGATGCGCGTCGGGCAGCGCCGGCGTCGGGTCCGTGTATATGGTCCACGACAAACACATGACGAAACCCATGGGCGTACCCATCAACAGCTGCTACAGTCGCTTTGAAAGAACTGTCAAACGATCTGACTTAAAAATGACTTGCTCCCTAAGAAAGAAGCTGGGGACGCCCATGAAGAAACCCAACCAATGACCGGGGAACATCATACTGTCATTGGACTCACAAGGAAATTAATCAGAAGAACAGAAATTCGAAGTTAAGACCCTCGCGCTGCCGGAGTCGATGCCGGCTCCATTTATGATGCTCGATGCTTGTAGTGATGATCTCAAGTCTCAACTCTCGTTGAACGACCTATAAAACTCCCAAAATCGTGCAGTGTTGCCACAAACGAAAAAAAACTACCAAATTAGTAGTTTTAGCGCGAGCTATGCCTGTATAATGTACGAATGTGTCCTGCTCCATTTCATTATGTAACATCTAATGTACCACATTCTGCAAATAAATAATTTGAATTTGATATAACGGTGACTCACGGGTCTACTCGGTCATCCAGTAGAAGCGTGAGCCGTGGCGCGCGGGGCGGGCGGCGTCGCGCTCCGCGTCGGGCAGCGCCGGCGTCGGGTCAGTGTATATAGTCTTCGGCTCTGGCTGGGGCTTCGGCCTGAAATGCAAAGCAAATTAGACAAACATGTATAAAAATACAAAAAATTCAAAATACCTTTGAAGCTTAAAATTAGGCCTTTATTCTTCGTACTACAGGGTACTGGAGGTCTTAAATAATAATGACCACTTGGCCTAGTGGTCGCATACCGGATTACTAAGTATAATGGGTAGCTTGTCGCAGAAAGAATTAATATATCGGGCGCGCACCCCTTTCAAAAACCATGGTAAAACTATCCTATGTTTCTCATTTTAACAAATTATAACATTAAGTAGGTTAATTATTACCTAAAGGTGGACAACCGCATGAAAATCAGTTATCGCGATCGCTTTTTCGCGTCTGTCTGTCACGACAGTAGGTAGAGCTTTTGTTTTATATTTATACCACAGTGGGTCTAGCTGGACAAAGTGCACAGTATAATCGCAAACCAGTCGAAAAGTGGTCGAAATACCTTTTTTTGGATGGAGTTTTGACGGATTCGATTTTCGATTCGATCAAAAAGTGCATTTTGTCTAGACCCACAGATCTCCCCAACCCACCTGACCAGGATTCTGAGTGCGTACCCTCAGAATCCTGGTCAGATGGGTCAATGGATGGATGGATCAATGCCAAATACTACATTTGTCTCTGGTGAATTCGAAAGAGCTGTGCTCCTGCTATGCCTATGGAGACCAATAACCTGATGATGAACGACGGATTAGCAAGCTGAAGTGGCAGTGGGCAGGGCACATAGTACGTAGAACTGACGGCCGATGGGGCAGCAAGGTTCTGGAGTGGAGGCCGCGTAACGGAAAACGCAACGTGGGACGTCCACCCACAAGGTGGACCGACCAAGCAGGATGGCGCTGGATGCAGGCCGCTACCAACCGTGCGATGTAGAAGTCATTGGGGGAGGCCTATGTCCAGCAGTGGACGTCCTGTAGCTGCGATGATGATGATGAAATTGGAGAGGGTTGTGCTTCGCAGTGAAGATTAAACGACTTTTTTTATGCAGGAAAAGGCAGGTATTTAACCGCAATCGTAGGTATTAAGTAAGATGTAGTGTAGGATGGCACATAATAATATCTGCTCTGTAAGTGCCCTGACTCGATGATGATGAACATCTATACTAATATTATAAATGCGAAAGTAACTCTTTCTAAGTCCGCCTGGCTAGCTACCACCATCTTACTTAAGTCTGACGCCATAACAACAATGTTAACAGCATTATTGTGTTCCGGCAGTTAGAGGTAAGATAGCCAGTTCCTCCGTGGTTGAGGATTCCGGGTGAAGCTCGCTTCCACCTTCGGCCTGATCGTCACTTACCATCAGGTGAGATACAGGCCAAGAGCTTCCTCGTTGTGGATAAAAAAAAAATAATAATAAATGCGAAAGTAACTCTGTCTGTCTCCTTTTCACGCCTAAACCACTAAACCGATTTTGATGAAATTTGACATAGAGATAGTTTGAGTCCCGAGAAACGACATAGGATAGTTTTTATCCCGGTTTTTGAAACAGGGACGGGCGCGATAAAGTTTTTCTGTGACAGACAAAATTCCACGCGGGCGACGCCGCGGGCGGAAAGCTAGTTTCTTATAACACTGACCTCTTGGTGTCGTGCACTCGCGCCTCGGTAAAGTAGCCGAAGCCCGGGCGCTCCAGCTGCAGCTTGTCCAGCATGCACTTGTCGAACACGCCCTGGGTCTTGCGGCACCTGGAAACAATCGCGATCACATTAACCTCAATAGTTCAGGTCAGGGGTAGCCAACCGGTCGATAGCGCCGTCGTCCGGTCCGGTAGTCCACTGTACTGTTGTTAGTACAATACATTGCGAGTGAAATACGTGCGATATTCGTAACCAGCAATGTATAGATGCTTTGACGGCGCAGTGGCGGCGCGGCGGGCTTTACGCGGCGCGTATGAACAGTGTAGGGCAGTGTTGCCAGAAGGTTACTTTTGTAACCTTTTAGGTTACTTTTGAACTGCATTGGTTGCTTTTAGGTTACACTAATGAAAAGGTTACTTTTAGGTGATTTTTCAGAAATTGTAGAATTAACTTTTACAGGTTATTCAGTAAAATATTAATAGTGACAATTTAAAAATTGTGTCATAAACTGCATTTAAACATGAATTTGATTTATTATTTGTTAAAGAAAATGACTTTTAGCGAATGTTTTTCGATAGTGAAACGCAAATCCATGAAACGTTTTTATACGACCGGTCACTTTTCGGTCTTCATGGAATGGTCAAAATTTTGATGCGATTGATGATCAATTGTATTCATTGTCCATCCATGAACAACCTTACACAATCGCTCCGCACCTTTATATTTCTGGTAATTTCTGACAAGACCCGACTGGCAACACTGGTGTAGGGGCGCGGCGACGGCGCGCTATAGAATTTGTCAGCGGCTGCGGCAGCGCGGCTGCGCGGAACGCGGAACGGAGAGATGTGAATATAATGAAATATTATTAGTTGTTCAAAACACATCTCGGCTCCATTCCACCCTTGTTTAAACCGAGCTTAACAGAGTCTGCACTGCAGAATATCTGCAATCTGAGTTGCAGTGAGTGGTGTCTGAGAAGTGGGATTAAACCCTTTTGTTTTATTTATTTTTTATGCATTTTAGTTGCCAAACAGGAACAGATGCCAGTATTAAGCTTGATGGCTTATTGTACACTACAATAAGATACAAATTGTTTCCAAATACATATTAATTTGCAATGAAACAAACCTACTAATCTTAATGAATATAAACCACTTGGGAGCAATTTCTTTTTGAGTGCTGGAGGCTACTAAAAAATGCTTCTTCTTCTTGTCGTGTTGACAACAAACCTACACAGTGTCAGCCCAAAACTCAGCTACAAGAGAAAAGAAAAAAAACTGTTAATATTGTTTAATCACTTACGAACTCAAGCTAAAGTCTCCGGAGCTCTTGTCAACGCAGTTGGCGTACTGATCGAACTCGCTCAGGCACGTCTGCTTCACCTTCCGGAAGAACTCCATCGTGCACGCCGTGACCACCTTCCCCTCGTTGATGCATTTGCGGGGATCGTTCTCCTCGATGCGGCATAGCATGAACTCCTGGAATACATTTCAAAATTACAAATAAATAAAAATAAAAGCTTTTATTTTCACAAAACAGTTTTAGCTACAAAACCTAATTCATTAAAATATTTGTTTCGTTAGTTCTTGTGGCACCCTGTGTGGGCAAAAGCCTCCACCATCTTGCTCCACTTTTGCCTGTCCTGGGCTAAATCGATCCATTTCAAAATTATTAGCATTCAATTTAACATTTTGATGTATTAATTAGCCTGAATGATATTAAATATGATACTGATACTGGTACACAGAGAAACAAAAGAAGATACTGTAGAGTGTAGACTTAGATTTAATCTAAGAGTGTAAATGGTTCTATATAACCTAATAAAAGGGCTTTTTTATTATCATAATTTCATTATATTCACTTAAAGCCTTAATTATATGCTATGTTCCACATAAATCCTTGGTCAGAGGTTGCAAGTTTTTGTCATAAAAATATTGATAAGAAATTCCATAGACATAAAAATAATAACAAAACATAACCTCTTCAGCAGAAGATTATGCAATCATTTTAAACTAGTTTAGAGCCTGTATTAATTTATTTCAAAGCACTAGAACCTTTATAAACTATTTATTGTACAAAATAAATGAAATACTTACATTGTTAGCGTGTTCACAGTATTTTCCCAAATGGAAAGAACTTGCCATCAAAGTAGCAGCCGATAAATTGACCTCTGGCACGGTCAATTCGGATTCCTCCGGAAGGTGCACATCATTAGTCAACACCATTTTTATTTATTTACCCTTCACAGCAAATTTTAAAATATAAATACCGAAATAAATAAGAAAAATTCTTCCACAAAATCCGTGGAAGAATTTAGGATTATAGGATGGCCAAATAGGAATGTTTTGACCATATGGTGATAGATAGAGAAAACGTATCTGATAAGTGTAACGAGGAAAAGAGATGCACAGAAGTACGCAGTATATTTGTTTTGGTCGGTTATGTTAGGATTATATTATCTTTGGAAGTGTATTAAATATTAAAAAGTTAACTGTTTCCGGTAGAACGCTCTTCCCTCTTCCGGCTATGTACGAACAAGATGTGTCTGTGTAAGAACCCGAATAATAAATGCTTATCTCGCTAACTATCGGTCTTTTCATTAAAGAAACACAAGTTCTGATAGGTTATGGGCCCAGACGCCCGTTAGTTAGAGTTAGGGAAAGTTTTAATTGTAGATTATTCGGGAAAAAGCGGATTTGTGAAATATAAAAATGGCGATGTCAAGTAGTAACACGCCGCTACCGCAATTGAGTGCAGGGGCATACGACAACTGGGTTTTCAGGATAAAATGCATACTCGCAGAAAAAGGTCTAACAGAAGTTTTGGATATAAAGAAAATAGTAGACTGTGATGAGAAGATGAAACTCATGGATGCAAAAGCGAGAAGTATCATCGTCCAAAGCGTGACAGACCAACACTTAAACCTGATAAAAGAAAGCACAAGCGCGAAAGAAATGTTAGAAGTTTTGAAAAACACATTCCAACGAAACACGGTCATATCAAAAATATGCCTAAGAAGAAAGTTATTGACTTTGAAACATACAGGAAAATTAGAAGAATATTTCGCCAATTTCGACAATCTTATAAGAGAATTAGAAGTGTCAGGAGAGAAAATTGCAGAAAATGAAAAAATCAGCTACCTCTTAACTGGATTGGGAGAGGAATTCAACGCAATAATAACAGCAATGGAAACGGTAAACCAAGAGCTAAGGCTCGACTTCGTAAAGTCTAGATTGCTTGACAATGAGATAAAGAGGGAATATAGTAGCACAGAACCACAATCTTCATTTGTCATCAAATGCTATACATGCCATAAAAAAGGGCATAAATCCTTCGAGTGCAAAAGCCGAGGACGAGGCAGAGGCCGCAGATATAGAGGTACTACAAGAACACAGTATAATGAAACAGCACAACCTGCAGAGAGTAGCAAATTCATGTTCAGTGCCACAAATGAAGCACTGGCATGTGATGGCAAAAATGGAAAAATAGTATTTGTTGTGGACTCGGGTGCGACTCAACACTTTATAAAAGCAAGTTATGAAAAATACCTCAAGGATGTAGTAGACTTAAAAAACATTATAAGTATAAAAATAGCAAACGGAGAAACATTGGAAGCAACTAAAAAGGGATACCTAGATGTTTACTATCAAGAAGAACTATTGAGATTGGAAGTAGTTATCGTTCCAGGACTAAGTAACAACCTACTGTCAGTCGGTAAACTCATTGAAAATAGAAAGGAAGTAATATTCAGAAACAAGAAGGTACTGATCATAGCAAACAACAGAAAAGTTTATGAAGGCAACAAGACAGGTCTACTGTATACATTTATATTGCAATTACCAGAGAACAATTGTGCTAACCTAGTACAAGAGAAAGATGACAATTTATGGCACAAGAGAATGGGACATATGTGCAGGAAAAATCTAGCAATATTGAGATTACCATACAGCAAAGAAACATGTGAAACTTGTATGAAAAATAAAGCCACAAGATTACCTTTCAAAACCCTAGATAGATCAAGATCAAGCAAAGTGGGTGACTTGATACACACTGATATATCTGGACCAGCCAGAGTGCCTACAAAAGAAGGCTACAGATATTTTCAAGTAATTGTTGACGACTACTCTCATTTTACTCAAACTTACTTACTGAGAAACAAATTTGAAGCAACTCAAAAACTGATAGAATTCATAAAGGAAATGGAAACTCAAGAAGAGGTGAAAGTGAAAAGAATTAGATGCGATAATGGTGGTGAATTTACAGCGAGTAAACTAAGAATATTTTGTGAAAATAGAGGAATAAAAATTGAGTACACACAGCCATACAGTCCGCAACAGAACGGAAAAGCGGAAAGGATGAACAGAACAATATATGATAAAGCAAGAACTATTCTAGATGAGTCTAATCTGCCAAGATACCTATGGGGATACGCTGTATTAACATCGACATTTCTCATAAACAGATCTCCATGCTCAGCCATAAACAACAAAGTACCTGCAAAGATAAGAAACAGAGAATATCCAATGAATAAAATAAAAATATTTGGATGTAAAGCATGGGCACGTATAATACCACAATCAAATAAATTTGATAATAGAGCTACTCCAACAAGAATGATTGGTTATGCGCCAAATGGATATTTATTGTGGAATCCTGAAACAGACGAAGTTACAGTATCAAGGGATGTGAGATTTGATGAGACAAATATAAGACATGAAAAAGAAAATGGTAATCAGAAAGAAAAATACCTACACAATGAAAACTATTATGATCAAATAAACAAGGATGAGTCTGAAAATTATGAGTATGATAGGTCAAGAATGCATAAAGAAAGCATAGAGGAAGATCTAAATGACAGAGAAGAAAACAAGCATACCACAAGAAGCGGCAGAGAAATAAAGAAACCTACTATTCTAAAAGATTATGAAATATATGAAGCCTACTGTTTAATGTCAAATGAAAATGATCCCTCTACATATAAAGAAGCCATACAACAAAGTACAGAATGGAAAACTGCAATAGAAAGTGAAATAAAATCATTAGAAAGTCTACAAACATGGTCAGAGACAGAGTTACCACATGGAAAGAAAGCCATAGACACAAAGTGGATATTTAAGACAAAATCAGATGGAACTAAAAAGGCACGACTAGTTGCTCGTGGATTTCAACAAGAATCAGACGAATTTGTATACTCACCAGTTGCTAAAATAACTACAATAAGGATGGGACTGTCAATAGCACTGAATAATGACTGGAAAATAAATCAACTGGACATACCTACAGCATTCTTGAATGGGAAATTAGAAAATGAAGTTTACATTAAAGTTCCAGAGGGAGTAAATGTGAAAAACAAGAAAAATGGAACAGTACTGAAATTACACAAAGCATTATATGGACTGAAAGAATCACCCAAATGTTGGAACAAGAGATTTGATGAGTTTTGTAAACAAATAAACATGACAAGATCTAAGAATGACATATGTTTATACACAGGAGAAAATATATGGTTAATTGTATTTGTTGACGATATACTACTTATTGGAAATGAAGAGAAAGTTAATAAGCTAACAATACAATTAAATGAAGAGTTCAAAGCTAAGAATATGGGAAAAATAAAAAACTTTTTGGGTATAGAAATAAACATAGATAAAAACACAATGAAATTGTCACAAAGAACATTTATTAGAAACTTATTACAAAAGTATAACATGCAAGACTGTAGAGACGCGAAGACACCAATGGAGACTAACTTTGAAGTACCTGAAAAAGAAGAAATAATTAGTAACTTACCTTATAGAGAATTAATAGGAAGTTTAACTTACCTCTCGACGATCAGCAGACCAGACATTACATTTGCAACATCTTTTCTCAGCCGATATCTTGACAAGCCAACAAGAAGCTTGTGGAATGCAGCAAAGAGGATACTGCGTTACCTAAAGGGAACTGAAAACAGAGAACTTACCTATATGAAGAAAGAAGATAACACTAACACTTATTCTATTTCAGCCTTTTCAGATGCAGACTGGGCCAGTAATAAATCTGACAGAAAAAGTGTCAGTGGCATGGTCATTTATCACAGAGGAAATCCTATATCATGGTCATCCAGGAAACAGCAAGCTGTCGCCCTTTCAACTGCGGAAGCAGAGTATGTCGCCGCCGCTATGACTGTGAGCGAGCTATTATTTGTGAGGGGACTTGCAATCGATTTTCAAGACAAAAGTGATGCAGTGTTATATGTGGACAATCAAAGTGCGATTAAAATGGTGATGAACAGTGAAAACACTCGACATTCGAAGCACATAGACATTAAATTTCATTTCGTGAAAGACATAGTTTGTAATAATATTGTAAGTGTCAAATATGTAAGTACAAACGAAAATACGTCAGATATTTTGACTAAATCACTGTGTAATATCAAGTTCAGTTATTTTCGTGAGAAGTTATTAGTTTTGTAGTGATTTCATTTAAAGTTTTGTTTACATTAATAGAACAGTGTGAAGTGAGTTGCATGTGTCACTAGTTGTCATTAATGTCAGTTTCTGAAATGTCAAATTCTTTTTTTTAATGTTGCCATACTAAAACATAAGTGGAATATTGTTATTAGAAGTTTTTATTAGTAGATAAAAATTATTTTGTTTTGCAATTAAAAGTTAAAGCCTAACTTGTAATTGAGAGGGAGTGTTAGGATTATATTATCTTTGGAAGTGTATTAAATATTAAAAAGTTAACTGTTTCCGGTAGAACGCTCTTCCCTCTTCCGGCTATGTACGAACAAGATGTGTCTGTGTAAGAACCCGAATAATAAATGCTTATCTCGCTAACTATCGGTCTTTTCATTAAAGAAACACAAGTTCTGATAGGTTATTCTTATGACTGACAGATCGACTGGCACAGCTGCTGACAACTGATACACCGTTTCGTTTCATGCATTTCTAGTGAAAAAAGGCGGACTTATGCACAAAATATTATGGTTTTCCGGGTGGTAGGTAATGAAGCTCTCACAAACGGGTAGCTATTGTAGTTATGATATTATAGCCTGACCAGGAACATAAAAACCCTCGCCATGTTGCGGAAAACTAATGGTACTAATTTCTTTTAATGGCAACAGTAACTGAAAACTTCATTGACATGTCATCATGTCACCTTGCATGTCAGTCTATTGCTGTCAAAGTGTAAACAAACTTTATTTTAAATGTGCGCAATTGGTTTTATGAATTAAATTGCTAAAATATTATTATGTGCCTTAATAAAACACAGCGTTCTGTTGAGAGAGCTGTCTATGATCTTTGCCTTATTTTAGTCTATGGTATAAGAAAACTTACCAATTGTCTCTGCTTTATCATCTAGTTTACCTT